AATTATGTGTTATCTGTGTTAAAAGTAAATATCGTTCTAATATGTATTTTTTCGTTAGCAGAGTGTTGAATGTTGACTGTAAAAGCGGATAGGTGAGAATCACTGAAGCAATAATTTTTTTATGATAATTATGTTTTTATTCAATAAACTGCTTAGTGTTTTCAGTATATTCCGAGCTTGATTCCGAGGTATATTCATTTTTTCAGTAAAACTGAAAGTTAGTTCTAATTTTATTCAACTGAACAATTTTTGAATGACAACATCAAAAATACCTATCAGATGCAAGATTGTCATGGATAACACAATAATACAGCAAGAAATGAAATGTAAATATCTCGGTATAGAGTTATCCGGTTATGGCAATATCGAAACAGAGGTAAGACAACAAACAACAAAAGCAATGAGAGTAGCTGGATGTCTGAACGACACCATACAAGAATATACAAGGCTGTCGTCAGACCCATAATGGCCTACACAGCAGAAACCAGACCGGATACAGCACAAACAAAAATATTCTTGGAAAAGTAAACGCTGCTAGATAGAGAACGAAGCAAAAATATAAGGCAAACATGCAAGGTGGATAGCATTAATATTGGGTATTGAGCAGAAGACGCGAATGGAATGAATATATAAGCTGAATGGACGAGGGAAGAATAGTAAGGTTAGCTCGAGACAAATCACCACTGGGAAGAAGTACGGGAAGGCCAAGAAAAAGATGGTGTGATAACCTTACCATCGCGGCATCGATTGAAAAACTGTAGGCATGATGTGAAGAATGAACAGGCAATCTGCCTATTATAGAGTAGGAAAAAGAAGCAGAAGAAGACTGAACAATGAATACAAACTGAAGTATGAGAACGTTTTTTTACAGTTTTTCAAGTTTTGAAGAAGTATTGACAGAATTTACCCCATTTATTTCTGCCTGACCCACCATCTCAGATATTTTCATATTTCGTAACTCATATGTTAATTTGAAAAAACACTTGTGGTAATTTTGTAGACACTTCAAGAGGTCAACGACAGATGCCAAACCAACTGAATGTATTCAACTAGGTAAATGAATCGTGTGAATCAGTCATACTGAAATGAAACACTAAATCAGTCATACTGCTTAAGTGAGACTTGATAAGTGAGAGAGAACTAACTCGCTTGAAGGGAAATTAATCCCTAGATCGCATAGCTTTATCTTGCTCTTAGAAACAAATATATCATTAAACATACGTCAAAATTACGTCAAAATTCATCTAAACGTGATACGCGATATAGTGACAATGCAAATATTCGTATAGACCTTAAAAAATATTTTATATCAGGAAATACCAAGAAAAGGAGCGAAGTAGTAAGATCACTTGAAGTATCAAAACAAGATCCTATTATGTATCTTTTTTTTAAGTTATAGCGCCAGTCATTTAGATTTTTATATTTGCATTAGACATTGAACAAATACAATCAAGTGATGGTATCATTATTTATTACTAAAGAGAGATACTCCATGCGGTATACTGCCGTATTAAAAAAAGGCACAATTAACTACAATTGAAACAGTAGCTGCATTAACCAAGCAGCTCCATTTAACAAATTTTGTGATAGCCAATACAGACAGATTTCAAGGTCATGCCTCTACCAGTCATGATCTATGTATGCACATTGCTCGAATGCTTTCTTCTTTAGATAGAGCGGCATTTTAGATTTGAATATGATTGAGTTTCATCCATAAGTACTCCATGCCAACTTAATTCTTCTGTTGGTTGATTTCTGGTAGTAGAGAACCCGAGCTGTGTATTAGTTGTCCAAATATATATATTTTTCTACTATTACCAGTGTTGTGCTATTTATTAGAATGACTTTTCTTTCCACTAGTTCGTTGTACATTACTTTAGGTTTTGCTGAATTTATTTTGAGAAGCACTTTGTTGCTTGCTCTATTTAGTTCATTAATTTGTGCTTGTAGTTCTTCAGGACTATTGGCAATTAGAACTATGTCATCAGCGAATCTAAGATGGTTAAGATATTCTTCATCTATTTTTTGTTGGTCCAGTCCAGTTGACGGAAGATTTCTTCTAGTGTTGCAGGAAACAGTTCTGGATATATCGCGTCTCCCTGTCATACTCCTTTGCCTCTGGGGTTGTTTTGTATATCATTACTCTTGCTCTGGCTTGTTTGTATATATTGGCGAGAGTTTCTATATAAGGCCTGTCAATACCTTGTTTCGCTAGGGCTTCTATTATTGCCTTAGGATATATCGAGTCAAAAACCTTCTCAAGTCTATAAAGGCTATGGCTAATGGAAGTAAGTATATTATCATTATATTCATCTATATTAAACCCCTATTGCCCTCCACCTTAGTTTGCTGCTTTTTTTTTATTTAAACTAATTTAGCAACTTATGTAAAGATCTAGATAAAGATATTAGGATCTATTACCACAGATTAGGTATACTATATGTATACAGATAAAAATCTTATCCCTAATTCGTGGTACGAAAATTGTTTTTATGACGATGTGTAAACGAGTAAAATTTCCTGTGCGCAAAAATAAACTCGCGTAAAATAATAATAAACAGCGTAATAGAGAGATATCGCTAAACCGAATAGCGTGTATGGACGTTAATAAGGCCAGGTGTTATTTCCTTTACGTGAGGTGGTATTAACTCTCTTCATTTATAGTTATGGGATCAGAAAGAGTTCTGTTCGCGTCGCGTCCGCTATTTAAACTTAACCTAACTTTGAATTTAAAACTTTGAAATTGTTTTGCTTACTAGGTATTTTAAAACTAAAGGGCTAAGTTAAACGTCTGCCAGTGGGTTTAGGGCTTAAAGCAACAAATTCTCTTAGAAGGGCTAAGTCGTCATCTGCTGTAAACCTAAGCCTCTTTATAGGTTCTTTAATATTGGAATAGGTGGAATCCATATTTTGGGCCATATTTATTTAATTAAAACTAATCCCAGCTACTTAAATACCAAATTACCTAATAAAACTAAAGTAATAATTCAAAACAATTCAAACATAACCTAAAATAAAAGATCTCGCCGCTCGCCGGCCGGCCCCGGTTGTCAAATGTACCCGCACATGCCCATTTAAGCAATTTTTAAACGTTATTTAGAAATAGTGCTTGATCCGCAAATTACGTCAGGCGGTAACGCTATTAGCGGGTATTGCGTTAAAAATTGACTCGCGCATATCGTAACCATGATAAGGTACGCGTAAATACTATATGACGCTATTAGGTTTTGCGATATTTCTCTAATAACTGTGCCGGTCAGGCGCTGTGCACAATTTTAGAGGCCATAAGTGGACGTGCTGTGTGCGCAAACTAGTAACCTAACTAGTGCCCGATTCCGAAAATTGGAACCACGAAAAACTATAAAGAAAAAACAAAGTTTATAATCTGTATGATCTGTGCTATTACTTTCAGTTTTATATTCAGAAGCCATTGACAGCAATCGCTAAAACATGTTAACTCACGTACCGATAGTTACCGGTTATCTTTAATTTGCACCTTTATTTTGACTTGTAGTTGATAAATAAAAATAAACAGAAACTACATACAGAAATTTACTACCATACTTTATTTGACATCTTTTCTCAACCTTAAGTATTTTTCTCATTTTTATATTCACAAGAGATTAAAAGTAATTTGAAAATTTGTTAACTCACGTATCGATAGAAAGTGAATTACTCGAAATCGAATGTTTATTTTGACTTGTAGTTGATAAATAAGCATAATATATACGTTAAATGTAATAGGTACATACATACTTAAACTAATAAGTACTACTTAAATTATTCTAGTTATAGTACCTAGTTTAAAGATTAAAACGCGGAAATGCACGTGTTGATATTTTAACTTTTATTAATTTCTTTATCACGAGTATTATTTAAATTGTTTGTAAAATAATAGTATATAGTATTATTAGGAGTAAAAATGACACATGACGTACACAAATGACATACATTCGAACCTCAAAAAGTCATTTTTACTCCGAATAGAATATGCTATTTTTTTTCAAACATCACAAATATGTTTTTAAACAATTTCAAACGTTCCAAATAATATAAAATGATTTAAAAGTAATTTTTTAAAAAGTCAAGTTTCTAAAGTCATTATACAGGGTGGTCCGAACTGTATTCCGGAAACTTCGGCAGCACAAAAAAATAAGTAAAAGAGTGCGTATTTAATGTGTATGTCCTAAAATGCTTAGTTTCGATTTTTTTCCAAATAATTTCTGAAGCAACGTCAATATTTGGATGAAAATTGGTGTCTGGGAGTTTTTTGACATGAGAAATTTGAATTTGATGTCAATATAATTCCTATTTGTAGGGGACGCCACCTACATGTGTTTTAACTGTTTTGAAGAGTAATAACTTTTTGTCCGTACCCGTATAAAACCACTGAGTGAAAGAATATACATTTCCGTGATTTTTTACGTAAAAATGTCTCTTGGTAAAAATCCCTAAAAAAGCAACTGTTCTCAAATTATTTAGAATGAAAATAGTCAATATTCTTTACATAGTCTTTATTGAGATAAAATAAACATGTTGAGTAGATAGTTTTTTGACTGAAATGATCAATTTGGGAACTTCTTATTTTTTTAAATTAATCGTAAATTTGTCTTCGAAAAAATGATGGTAAAACAGTTTTTGTTGAACTTTTGGCACAAAAACATTTTAAATTTATGATTTGAGGGTTGGAACCTTTGGTGTTACACAGCAAAATAAAAACACTAAATCACCACAATACACCAAAACACTTTTACTTTTGCACTGGACGCGCGTTTCGCTAACCATGTTAGCATCATCAGCAGATGATTATAAACTGACTCAGTGTATAATCATCTGCTGATGATGCTAACATGGTTAGCGAAACGCGCGTCCAGTGCAAAAGTAAAAGTGTTTTGGTGTATTGTGGTGATTTAGTGTTTTTATTTTGAGTTGTAATAAAACAATAAAATATCTTAAAATATTAAATTTTATTTATTGCTTTATATCTTAACTATTTACTCTCAACTTTAAAATTTATTGTGTTTTATGTGAGCATTATTATTACTTACATTATAAATTTTACATTTGATTATATTTTATCTATATATCCTTCAAAATGCTTTTATACCAAGATATTGTTCTTTAATGTAAAGAACTGACCGTTCTGCAATAGCTAGGATTATGCCTTGGACATTAGCAGATGGCAGGTCTACTATAGGCGAGGCATCTGCAATCCTGATGTTGGGAATCCCGTGCAACTGTAACCGTTGGTTCACGCAAGTTTCTGGGTCGGATTCAAGGCCCATTTTACAGGAACAGCCCTGGTGGTTTTCTGGGTAGGTATCGTACCTTATGGCACAGTCCCAGAATTCGTCAGTGTCGTACCTAAAAAAAAATAATTAAAATTATTATATTTAACTCTTAATCAAGAAGTTTTAAAAGATCTAGACTATAGTATAGATAAAAGATATACAGGGTGTTAATGACATATGCTAATATTTAAGGGGGTGAACTTCATATGAATGTGCGTTGTAAACGTCATACTATATACAGGGTGGCGCACCTCATTCGCCTCGCCTCGGTTGATTAAACGAAAGCGGAAAGATTTAGAAACAAAAATTTTGTTTTATGAGTATGTGTAGAGAGGCAATGTGCATAATTTAAAATTATTTTCAAACGTACAGGGTGTGTCAGAACTAAGATCCATACCAAAGTTATATTTTTTCTTATGGAACACCCAGAATTTTATTTCATTTTTCGATTCTTGAGCATAAAATAAGACATTTATTATAAGGGTTTAATATGTTTAAATGCTTTGGTTTTTGAGATATTTAAAGCATGCTATAAAAAAAGTTTGTCAACACCCTGTACATTAAAAGAACCAATTATGGATTTTTTTTTCACTTCCAACGATAGGTTTCTGCCTAATAGGTTTTTCACATATTTTTCATATACCACACTATCAACTCTGTGAAATAGAAAAAGTAGTTTGTCAAAGGAACGCTTGTCAAGAAAATTCCAATTTAGATATCTTTGAGCTTAAATCCTTCAGGCCAACAAGCAATTGTCATCACAAAATAAAATCACTAGTAACATATCCATTCCTTCCGCTAGGAGATATTGCTTCATTTTTCTTGATAAAATAATAAATACCGAGGGGTGTCTCACTCGGGTAAAAAATGTACACGTACTGCCAAAATATCCTTCCACTGCTAAGCGACTGCCAATGACTATGAAGAAGACTGTCTATGACTGCCATGTAATTATTATAGGTGACTGCCATAAGACTGCCAATGACTGCCAGCGACTGCCAAGAAAATGTACATGTAATTCCAATAGTGAGACACCCCTCGATAAATACTTACTTATTAACCTTATTGTAGGTAAATTAAATAAAAATAACCTGTTATAAATTTAAATAAAGTCCATAAACTAATGTGGATTTTGAAAATTGCTACTGTCACTAAAAAATTGCCATCTCGACACCAGCCATCTTGATTACAATTTTATTGGACAATCGCTTTTTATTCAAAACCTGAGCCAGATAGGTATAGGAAACTCTAATATAGTTTAAAAGAGCATTTAAATCTGCTTTGACTTATTTTACAAAATACATAGTGTTGCATTTGAAATACCAAAGTTTTTATGTAAAATAAATATTTAATATAGGCCAGCAATATTTGATACCCCTATATACATTTAAGAAAGCAGTCAAATTTTTTAGGAAAGTTTATTTCTCTGGCTTAAAAGTCAGCACAAGAATTAATTCTGAAAAGTTATGTACAAGGTGTTGACAAACTCTTTGATTATAGCATGCATATTTAAATACCTTTAAATGTCTCAAAACTCAAAGCTTTTAAACATATTAAACCCTTATAATAAATGCCTTATTTTATGTCCAAGAATCCAAAAATGAAATAAAATACCGGGTGTTCCATAGGTAAAAAATATAACTTTGGTATGGATCTTAGTTCTGACAGACCCTGTACATTTCAAAATAATTTTAAATTATGCACATTGCCTTCCCGTATATACCAATAAACTATTTTCTTTCTACATCTTTCCGTTTTCGTATAATCAACCGAAGCGCATGAGGTGCGCCACCCTGTATATGAGCATTGTTTATCGAATGTCTTTTAGGTTATTATATCTGTTGTCAATTGTCCTAAGATTTTTAAAGAATTATCTAAAATAATTTTAACTTTAGCTATACTTACTCATATTGAGATGAACAATTTCCGTAGCTATACTTCTGCCATGTCGCGTTGTATTTTTCGATTAAAATAGGAGCTTGTAGTAACCGTTGAATATGCCTGAGACCGCTGATCAAAACCTTCATGTCATCTGGATGTGTCAAGTAATTAGCAACAATCTTGGGTTTATCGAAGGGATTACTGGAATTCGTCAGAGTTTGCTGAAATTTTTGGGAGATATAGAATCAGTTTAGTTTCTTACTCTGAAAGAACAGCAACCATGTCTTTGAAACGTAAACGTTTGTCTATTAAAGAGAAATTAAATATTGTCGCGGAAAGTGAAAAATATAACAGCAGTGCTCGAAAGTTGGCGGAAAAGTTTGGTGTTGGAAGAACGCAAGTGAACGACATTTTAAAAAACAAAGTGGAATTAAAAAAAATGTTTGAAGAAGAAGGATGCAATGCAGATAAAAAACGAAAGTTTCCTAAAACAGAAGGATTTGCAATCGATCAACTAGTTTACGAATGGTTTTGTAAGGCAAGGAACAAAAACATACCCATATCGGGAACCTTAATTCGGGAAAAAGCTCTTGAGGTATCTACATCCTTGAAACTTAGTGAATTTAAGGCTTCAACTGGCTGGTTAAATAAGTTTTGCAAGAGACATAATATTAACTTCAAAACAATTTGTGGTGAGTCTGCAGATGTGGATGAAGTGACTGTTGAAGACTGGAAAACAAAATTAACAGCAATCATTAAGGAATACGACACTAAAGACATTTTTAATGCAGACGAAACAGGGCTTTATTATATGGCAATGCCAAACAAAACCTTTGCTTTAAAGAATGATAAATGTGCTGGCAAAAAATCAGCTAAACAACGAGTGACACTGCTTTTCTGTTGCAGCATGCATGGTGAGAAGGAAAATCCGCTAGTTATAGGTAAGAGCAAAAACCCGAGATGTTTTAAAGGAGCGCATGTAGATAAATTGCCGATAGAATGGGTATCCAACAAAAAAGCTTGGATGACGACAGATATAATGACATCTTGGCTCAAAACCTTTGACACCAAAATGAAACGGCAGGGTAGAAAAGTTCTTTTATTTTTGGATAATGCCACGTCTCACCCAAAAATAGAACTTGAAAATGTTCGTATAATTTTTTTTCCTCCAAATACGACATCTCATTGCCAGCCGTTGGACCAAGGAATTATTCAAAATTTTAAATTAAAATATCGTCAATTTTTTATTAAAAGACTTTTGACTTTTACTAATACCGAAGAAACGATGGAAAAGGCTAAAGAGAGCATAAATTTGGCAAGTACTATGGTGTGGATAAGTACAGCATGGAAAAATGTTACATCGAACACTATAAAAAAATGTTTCCAAAAAGCGGGATTTGCAACCGTCAAAGGGGACGATGCATTTGACGAAGAGGACGACATTCCTTTAAGTCAGTTATCTTCAATTTTAAAAAACATGCCAGGAAGTCCAGATCTTAAAGAATATCTGACAGTCGATTCAGATGTCCCTACGGAAAATCCTAGTTTAGAGATGCAGGGAATAATCCAGGAATTTACAAACAACAAGGACAGACAGGACTCCACTCAAGCCGAAGAGGAAGAAGATGAAGGCCAAGACATTCTGTGTTCATCTATAAATAATATGAGTGAAGTATGTGAAAAATTAAGAGACATTCAGAATTTTTTGGTGATTCAAAACAAAGACGAACTAGCGGTTGATATTGCCCATACTTTGATGAAATTTGAAAGTGAAATTACAAAAATCAAAATTAAAAATTTAAAGCAGACTACCATTAATCAGTTTTTCACCATATAAAATAAAGGATTATCATTTTGTAACTTTTAAAGTCAATTGTACATATGTATATAAAGAATACCTATGTGTAAAATACATATGTATACATTGTAAGTTTTTTCAAAAATTCTTGTATATAATAAAGTTTTTTGTAACAACTAGATTATTTTTTGTGCCAAAAATCTAAAACTGAAGATCATTTATTAACACTTATTGTGTGTTTGTACTACATGTCTCGTACTTAATTTTAATTACTTTGCACGTTTCAAAATAAAGGCATTTTACATTGGTATCTGTATTTTATTGTTCCCAATAGTGGCCACTTCGCCAACGACCACATTCCTTTGAAAAATTTTGTGGCCGCTATATGGAAGTTTTACTGTAATTTTAAGTGCACGTACCTTCCCATATATACCAATAAACTATTTTGTTTCTACATCTTTCCGTTTCCGTATAATCAACCGAGGCGCATGAATTATCTAAAATAATTTTAACTTTAATATACTTACTCATATTGAGATGAACAATTTCCGTAGCTATACTTCTGCCATGTCGCGTTGTATTTTTCGATTAAAATAGGAGCTTGTAGTAACCGTTGAATATGCCTGAGACCGCTGATCAAAACCTTCATGTCATCTGGATGTGTCAAGTAATTAGCAACAATCTTGGGTTTATCGAAGGGATTACTGGAAGCTAAACTAACAGTTCTGAAAGAAAAATAATCATAATAGAATATATCAATTCAATTGTTTGTTAACATAAGAGTCCATTTCACTAGTGCGAAAAAGTAGCAAAATAAGCGTTCGGCATTTAATGTTTTAGATAAAACTGGCTAGGTATTTTTAGACAAATGAAGAAGGAAATTAAAGATAAAGGATTATACTATATCTGTATTGTAGCACATTTTCAGACAACTTCTTTATTTTTAAGATTTTGATTCTCAAACATCAACAAAATATGCCTTTTGTTTGGACTAAATTTTCTCGAAAATAAAGACATAATTTAAAATTCCGTTACAATACGGAAATAGATTGAACTTGTGTGATTACAGTGATATATAATTTATATGGTTTTGTAATAAATTGTTCGTTATTTTATGGCAAATACTGAAGCTCTGCAAAGCTTAATCAAGACTTAATCAAAGCACGTGTGTTTGGAATTTTGGGTGTGGTTTAATGACAATGTCAGGGAATAAGACAACTTCAAAAACAATAGCACCGCTTACAATTTTTTACAGTGCTGAAACCAAATATTTTTTTTAAATAAATTGAAATATTACAAATGAAATAATTAAAAAAGTCGTACCCACTGCTTTTCGAATGCGTGACAACAGGGGCAATCCTTACGGTACGTCTTTCATCCGGATCACTTGGATCAACAGGTGAATCTGGTGCGCCAGTGTATGCGCAGGTGTTGACGTATCCTTTAAAGAAAATTTGAATGTCTGGGTCATCTGGTGTTGTGTAGTTGCTCCAGAGTCTGCCGGTGAGCTGATTATAACAACAAATAGCCAGGTAAATTATTAATATTATAGGAGTTAACCGCTATATGCGAGCAGAAATGTTCATCATTTTTTTAAAATAATTTTTTTATCAAGACGAGGAAACAACAAATACTGTAAATAGTAAAATTACTGTAATCATTAAAAGTCAATTTTTATCCTACTTCAGCGCACTTGGCAGCATTAGTGGAGTGCTTTAAGCCCTTATGAGGTACAAACCTCGGAATTCATTTATTGTGAACGAATTTTTATAAAACTTTTTGCATTGTATTGTTAATAAGATATATTATAAAGTTTACCTATTTAAATTCGTTGCTTTCACTTTAGTATTTAAATAAACACACACATATACAGTTCGTCTGCTGGATCTGTGCCAATGAAAGGAATGCGGACAAAAACATTTAAATAAACAACAATATATTTTATACGTCGACTTGACGAGTACGTCACCGCAAATCGCTCCGCCCACTCATTTTATTGGCTACTTGCAAATTTGTCGAATTTTTATTGATGGGACGCGTCGTCTAATTTTTTACGAAAAACATGGAGAGAATATCGTTTCCCCTCTCACGGATACCCCGTAGCTACAGAACGGACAGACGTACTGTATAAATGCATACATACAAGATGGCTCCGTTTTCCGGAAAAGCTCTGTATCAGGATTCCTATTTGAGATTTTCACTCCAAACCTTTTACAAAATATATGTTTAATGGTAGTTCACATTTCAAAAATATATTTATAGATATACAGGGTGAGTCAAATATATATCATTTATTTATTCGAGTTTAGTGAATTTCCTATAAAATTCTGGTTCCAAAAATACCTTAATACCATAGAGTATATTAAATGGTCTTTGAATTATGACCACGTCCATGAGGACGTCAATATAGACGTCCAGGAACCTTCGTATGAGAACTTCTAATCGAGACGATCGACTTATTGTAAGTTTATCGCTAAGAAACCGCCGTTTGCCAGCTTTTCAAATTGATAATGAATTGCACTTAAGAACCGTACATATTAAGTAACGGACTACAAGAAGAATACTAAATGAAGCAAATCTTATGTCAAGTAGGCCTGCTACGGGACCAGAACTTGCTAGATATGTTGACTAGGCCCAAAAGCAAAGGCATGGTCTTAATGTAAAAATTACGAAAAATGTTAGTGCCTTCTTTAAAACCGAATATTTCCAACAAAAATAAAGCTAATGAGATGAAGCAAAAAACAAACCATCGAGAAAGGATGTATCTAGATGATAACATAATTTTTAAATTTCTTGCTGTTTTAACATATTTTACAGGGTGTTTCAAACTTTCATCAAAAATATCAACATTTTGGTTTCCCTCGTATAATTAACAGATGGGGAGTTTCATTTTTAATTTAGAAAAAGATACTAAGAAGTCAAATAATTTGGCAACACATTGCTTAAAAAATTATCAAAATCGGCCCATTAAAATAAAATATATTAACCTTTAAAATACATCAAAGTTTTAAGGTGCCCATTTTTCGTGCCGGTGAATGTATTTCAAAAACTATACATTTTAGTCATATAATTTTCTAATGAAACAAACCTTTATTTTTTTACTAGAATTCAAAAATCAATTAATATATAGGGTGTTCTTTTACAAAAAACATAATTTTGATGTATAACTTTTTTTGGGGACACCCTGTAGAACTTTACATAATTTTAGAAAATACTTAAAATTGACTTACATAAGCTCAGAAAATTTCACTTTACATACAACCTTTTGTTCTCCTTGCAAAAACCGCGTCACATATGACGCGCCATCCTGTATAATTCAATTTCAATCAAAATTTCAATGATTAGAATATAAACAATATAGGTGCACAATATGCATTAGATTTATTTATTTCAATAAATTTACTTAGAAAAAGAATTAAAAAAATCAAAATATTAAGAAGGAAATAATTAAGAATTTACTAAAATTACTAAAATATAAAATTAAAAGCAACGAAAAAAAATGGGTAAACATTTTAGCATTTTATCTATAAAACACAATACAGAAGGTTTCACATCAATACATTCACAGTAATTGAATTCCGAGGTAAAAGTCTTTGGGCACTCCACAATATGTATAAATGTATATTTTCTTATATCGCTGTTTGAGAGTTAACAAATAAAATTTTCTTATTTGCTATTTAATTTTTTTAATTATTATATCTTATTTTCCTGTTTGAAACCTCCATTAGTTTTAAAATTTTAGAATTAAAATAATCCAGGGCTTTCGAAAAGGCTATAGTTTTTTTTAAATCTAATTTATTTAAATTTATGATTACCTGACCCAATCCTGTAGAACTGAGCGGTCCATTCTTCAATTTCAAATATTCATCAAGAGTTACATTGTTTAAGTCAACATAGTTGGGCTCATTAATTTTTAGATCAATATAAAAGGAGACATGATTTTTAATACCTGCAAAAAAATCAAAATAAAAAATAAATTATTTATAGAAAAAATACCGTAATAAACTTACCTTTACCAACACCAGTTAAATTATGGACCTGTTCAATACCAACTTCGTCAAGCACAGCCTTGTCGCCAATGCCGGATAGCAAAAGAATTTGTGGAGTGGCAATAGCTCCTAAATTGAAACAAAGATAAATGGAAATAATATTACTATACCGGGTGCGTCTCAAAAGTGGCTCACCCCCTATAACTTTTTTATTTTTTCAGATAAAACAACGATAACTCATGTATTCTAGAAAATATTTTTCCTGATTCGTGGAAACTTGCGCGAATAACACCTTTGCCTAAAATTGATCATATAACTTCTGTAAATGAGCTTCGGCCAATTAGTATCTTGCCTTGTTTGTCTAAATTGTTGGAGAGAATTATGGAGAATCAAATACGTGATTTTTTGCAATGCAACGACATTTTACCAATAAATCAATCTGGTTTTCGCAAAGGCTATAGTTGCACAACGGCACTTTTAAACATAGTTGATGACATTATTAAATCCTGTGACTTGGGCAAAAACTCTGTACTGGTGCTATTAGATTATTCAAATGCCTTTGACAGAATAAGTCATAAACTACTTCTATCTATACTACATTATGTAGGCTTCTCGGAAAATGCAGTCGGTCTAATTGAAAATTATTTAAGTAATAGAATGCAATTTGTAAAAATACACTACAGGGGAGTCACCGAGGAAAGTTATTAGTTGTGAAGTTTCACAAGGATCTATCTTAGCTTTTTTCGTTTTCCTGTTATTACCGATTCTGAACCGTCCTAGAATTGTGATGCGTATGCGCAGAAGGAAATATGAAGACATTATTTCATTTGCGCATGCGCTGGAGAGTTCTAGGACGATTCGGAATCGATAATAACAGGAAAACAATTTCGAACCTCTTGAGACCTTTACCCCCTTTTTACAATATACAGGGTGGTCGAACTGACATTCCGAAACTTCGGCAGCATATTCTGCAGATAAAATAAGTAAAAAGATCGTATAAATGTATGTTCCTAAAATGCTTAGTTTCGGAGATACAGGGTGTAGAAATTTCATTTTTATTTCGATTTTTTCCAGATAATTTCTGAAGTAACGTCAATATTTGGATGAAAATTGGTATCTGGGAGTTTTGTGACACGAGAAATTTGATTTTGATGTTAAAATTACTCCTATTTGTAGGGGGCGCCACGTACATGTGTTTTAACTGTTTTGAAGAGTAATAACTTTTCGACCGTACCTGTATAAAACCACTGACTAAAAAAATATACATTTCCATGACTTTTTATGTAAAAATTGTCTCTTGGTAAAAATCGAGCAACCGTTCTCAAGATATTTAGAATGGAAATAGTCAATACATGTCATTATTGGCAAAAAATAAGCACATGTTGAGTATAGTTATTTGACTGAAATAATAAATTTTTATTTTAATAAATTAATCATAAGTTTTTCTGCGAAAAAATGATGATTAAACAGTTTCTTGTGAACTTTTGACACAAAAAGATTTCAAATTTATGATTTCAGTCTAATAACTATTTAGTCAGCATGTGTAATTTATGTCATTGATGACAGGTATTGATAATTTCGATTCCAAATATCTCGAGAACCATTACTCGTAGCGATTTTTACCAAGAGACCTTTTTTATGTAAAAAAAGTCGTAAATGTATATTTTTTTGCTCAGTAGTTTTATGCAGGTACCGACGAAAAGTTATTTCTCTTCAAAACAGCGAAAACACATGTAGGTGGCGCCACCTACAAATGGGAGTCATATTGACATCAAAATCAATTTTCTCTTGCCAAAAAACACCCATCTACCAATTTTCATCCAAATATTGACGTTACTTTAGAAATTATTTGGAAAAAATCGAAATAAAAATTAAATTTCTACACCCTGTATCTCCGAAACTAAGCATTTTAGGACATACATTTATACGAACTTTTTTACTTACTTTTATCTGCAGAATATGCTGTCGAAGTTTCCGGAATACATTTCGGTACGGCATGGTATAGCGGATTTTCCCTTATACCTTCAGGTACAGCTGGTTCCAATAAAATTGAGTACGATTTAAAACATATTTTTATTATTTCGGGCAGTATATTCTATGATACCAGTTCCCCATTTCTCTACGAATGTCATGCTGATGTTCTGAAAAAATTATTTGTCACTTTGTCAAAAGCAAAGATTGTTTTATACAATGTCACAATAACCTTCACATTAATATACACAAATACATAATTTACACTGCTCAAATATTCGAAAAAAATGTGTAAAGAATCGTATTCATTTTTTTTGAACCAGCTGTACATACTTATAAAAACATATTATTATAAACTAAACAAACATTGTATTCTTAACGTTAATTACTTAAAAGAATTTTGTATACCTGCAGATAAAATTACTTCCTTAGACACATTTACAGTGAATTTTTGGCCACCATAGACAAATTCGACTGCACTTGCCCTCTTTGTTCCGTTGATTTCGCTGATAATAATTTTTGTGACTGTAGAATTGAGCATCACATGAAAGTTTGGATTGTCTTTATGGGGCCGCACAAACGCCTTAGCCAGACTAAGACGTACGCCATCTCTAAAATAAGAAGTACACTTTATTATTATTATGTTCTTTATTTATTTTTATTATTTATCTTCTTCCATTCAGTGCACAAGTTTCTGCATTTAGTAGTATCGTTGGTAGTATATACTTTTTGCACTCCATTTTACTTTACTGTCACTTGTTTTGCAATGTTACAAGATTGTTAGAGATATTTAATAATTATTACCCAAAAATTAACTTAGCATGTTTATAATTAAAATTTAAACCATAGATACAATACATATACAATTTTGTAGTAAAATACCATGTTTTTTCTTAAACCTAAACTGTTCTGTACCTGAACTGTTCTTGTATTTGAACTGAAGATCTAAACTTTGTCAGGCCACACACAATGCAGTTACGTCGAACGATGCGATCTTCAGTTTTGTGACTGTCAGTTTTTGAACTGAAGGAAAACTGTGCTTTCACCACACACACACACATATCGTCAGTTTTAAGCGAATGATCTGAATGAAGTAAATCATGTTTTTGAATACAAAAAATACACTTCTCGTGCTTTTGTTACTGCAAGAGCCAATTACAAAAACAAAAAAGCGTTTCTGGGTGAAAGATTGGTTGTTACAACGTGATACATTATCTCATTTGACGTGCAAAAATTAAGAACTAGTGCAACAGATGATCTTAAAAACTAACTTAGAATGAATGACACATGTTTTAGTAAACTTTTAAAGATGGTTAAGCTCTTAATATTTGCGCTTTTTAAGTTCTTTCCGGAAAGCACTTTGAAAATTGTTTATTCTTGTATTTACATAGTTATATCAACAGTTTTATCTACGTCAGTGAGTTAAGAAGCTCTTAACTCACGCATTTTGAGTGAGTTAAGAGCTTCTTATACTTAGAGTATGTATAATCATACTTCTGTTTCGATCTTGCTGGAAGCAATCCAGAAATGGCTCTGAATGCCTCTTCTTCAATGCCAAAGGGAATACTTTCCGAATTGCTCATTTTTTAAACTAGTGACATCAATACTATTTACTGTCATTACGTTATTACTGTCTGTACGTTATTTGAACAAAGGTAATTGATTTTCGACGGCCTGTATGTGTATGGCGAAATTTTAACTGACGATATACAAATCTAAAAACAAAATCTAAAATATAAATTTTACCTAGTGTTAAATTGAGGAATAGCAAATCCTAGAAATTTATCTCCATTGAGATCGTCACTAACGGGAAATCCGGTCTGTTTGGCAGCTGTCAAAATGTCGTAGGCCAGTTCGGGTGCCTCGTTGTATCTTTCGATTGTCAATGGGCCTCCGGTACCGTGGTACTCTTCGGAAACTAGCGAGCCAATCTGAGTGTTGTTTTCCGTATATTTGAAAACGGGGATTAGTTTTTCAAGACTCCACTCGGTGTTACCCGCTGCAACCTAAAGATAAACAATGGCATTATCCTTACTTAAAAAAAACTTTACACACTGGGTTATGTTTTGATTAATTTTTCCCTATTGATTCGTTGTTAGTGTTCAGAAAACTATCAAAAAAACCGGAATAAATCAGGAAACTACCCGTACCGGAACAAATCAGGGAACTACCCGTAATGCAATGCAAACCAAAATGCAATGCAAATGTAAATATTGTTAATTCAAAAAACAGTGTTGGGGATAACCTCAGAATATTACTGTCACTTTTTTCTCTTTCATTTTTATTTAATAATAAATAATGAACTATTTTACATATAGGCCCTAAGACAGGGGGGCCCGCGAAGGCTGGAGCCCAGCTGGCAATCACCACCCTGGCTATATGGCCAGTCCCACCCTGGAGTTTTGCGATATCATTTTTGAGAAAGGTGAGAATCGAAAAAACACCATTACATGGGCACTAAATTCTATTCTTTGGCAAAAAAATATAAATATTGCAACAAAAACTCGCATATATGACACTCTAGTTAAGAGCAAAGAGCACACTTACATATGGCGCTGAAGTATGCTAAGTATCTAATTTGAGAAAGTATATCGTTATTCGTATGGATGGCATTAGTACTTCCAAACTAGTTTAAGTGTTTGAATCATCTGTTGATGATATTAACACAGATAGCGAAACGCACATTCAACCATGTAGTGTATTGTCGTAAATTAGTGTTTTATTTAGCTCTTAGGCAAAGAAAATAAAGTCCTCTTACTCTGGGTGCCAGCCACCAAGGGATAGAAGGTAATGAACAAGCAAACGATCTATTTTGAAAAGGAGCGAACGCTCCACTAACTGAAAATAGAACCGTTCTGTTTCACATGTGGAATATTCCCGGTCTAAGGCACTCGAAGAAATTTCTCAGAACCTACGACCGAGAAAAATTAAAGACTTTCCTCGATTTAAGAACCACTATCTTCGAATTGAAGAATTGAGAATCTTCGAATTGTCATGGGGTTTTTAACACGATACTGTTTCATCAATAAACACCTTAGTACACTAAAGCTAAGAAACAACAGCGAAAGCAGATTTTATGGGGAAGATGGGGAAAGACCAGAACACCTCAACACTAAGTGCGCCGAGACGACAATCATTCGTGCCATAAATTTTGGTACGACTGATATCGGAGATGGAGAACGAACCTCTGTAAAACCGTCTCAGATAGTGGCTTTTGTCAAAGCCCTGAGGTTGTATAATGAGTTAAAAATCAAGACAAGAGGACACAATAGATCTATAAAGGTGCGTCCAGACTTACTTGACGAGACGAGAGGGAGACGAGCGAGAGACATTCCAAATTTGCCAAGTGTGGACGCGGCTCAAGACAACCTACGGAGCCTCGTTGCTATCCGTTCTCTGTCGGTTTTGCGACGGCCGATCACAGAAAGCTTGCGGCACAGTCTGTACGTGTTTTTGGTTGGCTCGCTCGACTTCGAGATATTAGTTCTGATTTATGAATTTCGACTATTTATAACTAAATAATCAAATTTTTTAACGGCACACTGTATGTATTATCATTTTTTCTGATAGAATCTACAAATTTTGCGTCACTGAGTTCCAAGATTTCTTGAAACAAATTGAATTAGCTTCTTAACCTTCCCTATAACTTTTCTGTTTAACATTTTGTTCTAAAAAAAGTTAAAAAACGTATCTTGTAAAAGACGTCGTGTCTCGAAACAAATGAAGGGTTAAAAAGGGGAAAACAACCAATAGGAAAAAAACCGACCGTGAATAAAATACGACCAACCAAATACCATGTTAAAGATAAAAAAAAATATTACTGTATGCGTTATTATTTGGTCATCGTTTGTTATATCCAATTAAATTTAATATGTGTTTGGTTTCCTTTCACTATGATCCAACTAGGGCTTGTCTCATGGCAGGCTTGCCACAAAAAAACGGATAGAAGATGTCTCGCTCTCGTCTTGCTCTTGTCTCGCCGTCGTTTTGTCAGGGCTGGACGTATATTCATATTCTGCCAACGTAATACGACTTTGGCTGGATTCTGACCGGGCGCCGTGAAGCGTTAGCAAATTATGAGCATCGCAACTGCCCGTTGGCACTTAATGCCTGTTTAAGCACTAGGTGTAATTTAAATAATTTGATGATTAGATGCGTAAATGCTTAGTATTTGAAGGAAAAGAACAAAAAGTGATATGAGAACGGTTCCAAACTTCTTGAAATGGAATGCCTCCTGCTGTAGACTGTGTCTTAAATATGTTTTTTTTAGATTTTTCCAACGGTGTTCTAACAGTCGTGGTAGCTTGCCAAGTAATTTTTGTTAAATCTCCTAATTCGGTTACCCATTTCTGTAATAATTTTTTTAAGTTTTAATACCTAATATAACATTTTTTGAGTAGAGAGTCGCATAAAGTTATACTCTTCGATATGTTTTCAAAATGTTATAATATAGCCCTTGAGACAAAAAAAATGGCATCAAAAATATTCACAAAAGATCGTGAACAAATGAACATGTAATCGTTTAGAGTTAGCTAATTTGCTTTATAACATAATTTAATCTATTTTTGTATTATTTTCACTAGCGACGCAACCTAAGCGCCATCAGTTTCCCCTTTTAGATAGGTTTCCATTTCCCAACTTTGGAGAAGGATAATTGCTCCGATTATGAAAAAAAACATAAACTCTATGTCTTTCGCTGCAGTAAACGTTATAACCTAATATAACTTTCCATAGCAAAAAAAAACTAGTGAACAAATTAGCCACGAATATTCCAATCATAATATTATCAATAGAATTTAATTTCGGTTATTTAATCTACAGTGATTTCACGTGCAACATTAAATCAAATTGATATAAGGAAAACACTATGATGGCAAAAAACATGAATCTTTTCACCTAATTCATCTCCTCAAACGGCACTATGCTTCTAACGTAAAACAGAAATAACTTAACTTAAACAGAAATAATCTTAATAACTTAAGAAATAAATTGAGTATCACTCCGCTTGCAACAGTATGCCACTGGAATCAAGGTCCGTGTGACCTTCCAACAGCTTAGTTTGGATGGTAAAAAGGGCTGAATCACGCGTAAACATTCGTGATTTCTATCATACCACATATAGTGAGCTTATGTTAAAAGTAATTAATAAAAGTCAACTTACATCTACTTCTTTTTTAGTATCAATGTTAATTCTGAACTCGTTCTGGCTGACATCAAAATAATTGTACTCTTGAGGCCTTTGGATTGCCATAATGGTCAATTTTTAAACAATTTTTAATAGCTAACAACATGCAAAGCCAAATTTTTAAATGAATAATTTGAAGACTAAACAACAAACTGTGTCGGACGGCAAATAAACTGCCAACGTTAGTTCAATGTAATCATATTTTGCCAACGTTAGACTCGAACGCTTGCGACTTTAGCCGAATATCGTATTACGTTGGCAGAATATGAATATGCGGCCTGGACGCCCCTTAAGGTAGCGGTGGTTAACTTCCCCTCTCCAATACAATCTTACAGTCGAACAACCCAATCAACGCAAGATACAAATATTTACCCATCTATCATAATCAGCCTTCGTTCCTCTCGTGTACATCATCCCATTAAACACACTAGACCCTCCCAAAACCTTCCCTCTGGGCCAAGTACATATTCCTCCGTTGCTCAAACAAGCCGTCGTCTCCGTGGTGGTGTAGTTCCAGTCGAGGATGGTATTATTAAAGGCGGGTACGGCCGGCACTTGGGTGGCAGGTGGTTCGTCCATGCCCGCTTCCAGAAGCAGGATCTTCCAGCCGGATACTTCGGCCAGGCGACCGGCGGCAGTGGAACCACCGCTGCCAGCTCCGATGACTATGAAGTCGTACTCTGGATCGGGTTGGAGTTTTGGGACTATGCGTCCGCAAGGGTCGGAAACGTCACAGGCATATCTATCAAATATAGAATAAAATTGATTATAAATTCGACAATCACAAACCCAGAGGCGTACACTGATAAAAAAGATAGACTTGAACTAAAGTCGTCATCGTTCTTGAAAAAAAAATTAGTGGCAAGAGAATTTATTTTAGCGTAAAAGAAAATATTTTGCCTGAAGAAAAACTCTCTTAACTCAAGAAAACTGGTTCTCTTGAAAAATTTGAAAATTTCTCTTGAATCTATTTTCATTCAACCAAGTGCAAGTTACTTTGTTTTAAGATAATAAGAAAATATATATATGCTAGGAAGTACTTCATTCAAAAAACATGACCATTTTTCCAATAGCTAAATACTCTTTTGATGAAAAATAATAACAATACGCAAAGACGATGACGAAGGACGCTATATACAATCAGTCGGCAGTCCGATCAGGCGTACATCATGGTGCGTACGGGTTTTGTTGCTTGGAATTTTCCACTTGGAATTTTGCATAATTTGCTTTTTAAACGCATATCGTATAACAAATTAGTGATCGTTATTAACATGCATTTGTCATTTTTTATGGACAAATTTTAGGATATATGGATTCTTTAAAGGAGTTTCTAAAAAAATGGAAATTAGAGCACTTATTTGCTATATTTGAAGGTAAGAGACATTCATCTAATGCACCTGTCTAGATAATGCATGTGTGACTATAGATAGAATAAGAATATAAGTATCGATTTTTTTATGCAAATAATTACAAAAATTTTAGAATTTCAATTCGTCGTATTAAAAAATTCAAAATGTGACCTAAGCTTATAATTTTAATAATTTATTTGCTTTACTTTGAAATCGTGATGTAACATTTCTTAGTAATTTGTAGAGTGATGAACCACCCCAAAAAAATACCAAGGAGTGAAGAAGCAGGAATAACTACCATCGAGGAAAATAATATCACTTTACTTACTACAGACCAGGAAAACCTAAATTTATCAGAAAATAATATACCTCGTAATATGCCTGTATATGATGTATAGACTTCTCTTAGATCAAAATAAATTTTAGTTGAGTCAATAGTATTCGCTATTGGTTTAAGAAAGTGTCTCTTTAATCAGGAAATGTCCCTTTTCAAGAATTTTTGCATGAATCAAAGAGACTATTGTTCTTGTAGCAAGAACTTCTTTGCATATTCATTCTGGGTCAAGAGAGAAATACTTTGGACAGATTCTTCTATTCTCTAAAGTAATTTTTTAAAGCTTATGAAAAGATAGTTAATGCTTTGGGCAAAGAAACGTCGTTCTTGGCCCTATTGAAAAGCGTCAATCTTTTGGGTCAAAGTCATATTCATTTCGACTGAGAGATCCTTTTTTTCAGTGTAGCAAGGGCACTTAAGTTCAATTTCCTAACTCAGGCCTGTTCAATTTCCCCACTATTTTGTTTGGTAAATTTTAAACAATCGAAGTAGTTTTAATAGTAAGTATAAAAATGATCCAGATTGATTTGGGAGATATAAAACATTATCTAGATTAAAATAATAAATTCGTAGATATAGAAAATGGTATCTATATATTTATTTACTTTTTTAGTTACTTATGGAAGAAACATATACAAATCTTGAATGCTAATTTATCAAAAGAATAAAACATTCAACCAATGCGTACTACCAGTCATGACCTATGCATGCGAAACCTGGACACTTAAAACGGACGTTATAAGGAAACTGCTGGTCGCACAACACTCAATGGAAAAAAATATGCTGGGAATAACCCAAAAAGGCCGTAAAAGAATAGAGTGGCTACGACAAAAGACACAGGTAATAGATGTCATCCACAGAATCAAATCCCTCAAGTGGCAATAGGCAGGACACCTGGCAAGAAGGACGGACAACAGAGGGACCACAAAAAATACAGCATGGTACCCACGAGGAATTAAGAGACCTAGAAGAAGAATGCCAAACCTGAGATGGGACCATGATATTAGAAATTTAGCAGGGATAACTTGGGCCCGCATAGCCTACAATAGACAACAATGCTGAATAAGCTGAAGATGATGATAATGTATTTGTTTAACTACTAAGAATTCGTATACAAGGATATAACTAATAAAATAATCACGAAATTCCAGTTAATTCATTGAGGAATCAGTACTCAGCACTTCTTTTTTTAGTGTAGCCCATCGTCCATCTTTCGAATAGCTCTGAAAGATCAATTTTATCAGTCACATCTTTTTCGTTTTTTTAGCAGTATAGAATAATCTTATCGATCCACAATTAGCAATTATAAGCTAATTGTGGATCGTTGAGAAAATTTAACAAATAATATACTAAATTTTCTTTCATTTGTTGCAGTTGATCCTTCCAGCATCCACAGTCTGCCTTATTGAAAGACCTCAACTGGACTCTCATACGCCGCGGAGGCTCCAAGGGGAACGACAGTTTGTATTGAAACAACATTTTTTGAGCATATGCAGGTTAATTTAGAGCATTTTTTTAAAAATATAGAGAGTTCTACAGGGTGTCCACAAAAAAAGTTAAACATCAAAGTTGTGTTTTTTGTAATGGAACACCGTATATATTAACTGATTTTCGGATTCTAGGAGAACAATAAAGATGAGTTTCATTAGAGAAGTATATGTCTAAAATGTAATGTTTTTGACATATTTATCATTTTCTAAAAATGAAGAACAAATTGTAAATTTCAATAAAATCTACCTAAATTGGAATTGACCCGGTACAGCCTAGTATGTAGTTAAACTAACTATTGTATTTTAAATTAAGTTAAAACTTGACCCAAAAAGTTATACAGGTTGGAAAAAATTAATATTGAACATTGGTTACATTTAAAAGCAAGTTACTCTTTTATTTTAAATGGATCACCCAGTATATTAATCCGATATTCAATGTGAAATTCATGTCTCTTCAAAATACTATTAAGGTTGCCTACCCCTTAGACAAAGATTTTCCTAGATATTTTCATTTATGTGATTTTGCGTCAGTATATCTAGGCGGCCGCGGCCGTGAGATACCTTTTGTTAATTTCATAAAAATTAAAGGATGTAGAATAAAATATTGAACGGTAATAAAAAGGTACACGTTTAAAACATATTTTAATTGTTACAGAATTAAAAATAGAATTAAATGTATAATTATGTAACAAAAATTAGCTAGATGAAATGAAATACTCAAAATACTTCCTTTCCTGTTCACTGCATAAAATGATTCACTTTTCAAAAGATCTTTTCATGTTAAGCGGTATTATGTGGAGTTCTACTTCGAAAAGCAGCCACAGTAATTTCTCTCATGCTGTCGACAATATTTCGTCGGGTTTTGTAACACTCTTTTTAACATATCCTCATAAAAAAAAACTACTACATAAATCACGAGCATTTAAGCATTCTATTAATTGGCGAATGCACACTACATTCACCAACTAATGGAATCATGTCAATTCACTCTGATGTAGGATAAGTTTCCATTTTCGGCAAATTACTGAGATTATTTTTGTTTTAACTGACAGAAAATTATATCTAGTTATCAAAGTTGAACTAATCACAACTAATGGAATCATGTCAATTCACTCTGATGTAGGATAAGTTTCCATTTTCGGCAAATTACTGAGATTATTTTTGTTTTAACTGACAGAAAATGGTAACTAGTTATTAAAGTTGAACTAATTTGATAGCTGCATTAAAGTAACGTCAGACATACCACAGCCACCTAGATTTTATCAAATAAAAATCTACGGACACTAAATAAGCACTAAATCATAAAAATAAAAATATCTAGGAAAATGTTTGTCTAAGGGGTAGGTAACCTTAATATTATTTTGAAAAGACATGCGTTTTTCACTGAATATTGGAATAATATACTGGGTGTTCCATTTAAAATAAAAGAGTAACTTGCTTTTCAAGGTAATCAATGTTCAATATTAATTTTGTCTCAACCTGTATAACTTTTTGGGCCAAGTCTTAATTTGATTTAAAGTACAATAGTTAAGTAATTGATTATATTAGCTTTTAGTGAAATTTAAAATTTGTTTTTTATTTTTAGAAAATGTTAAATATGTCATAAACCTTATATTTTAGTAATATACTTCTCTAATGAAACTCAATTTATTTTTTACCTAGAATCCGAAAATCAATTAAAATATAGGGTGTTCCATTACAAAAAACCCAACTTTGATATGTACCTTTTTTTGGGGTCACTCCATAGAACTTCCTATTTTTAAAACAATGCTCTAAATTAACCTACATGTGCTTACAAAATTTCATTTCAATACAAACTGTCGTTCACCTTAGAGCCTCCGCGGCATATGAAAGGCGCCAACCCTGTATATTGAACTACATATATTACTAATTATTAAGAGACAATCTAAGTTTAAAAAATCAGTATTACCTGATAATCAAGTCGACTAAGGTCATAAATGCAACATATTGGCTTCCTGAACAGATGTCATCTATGGATGGACCTATCCAGGCTGATTCACAACCACAAGCCGAGAAGGACATCGTCTGTGTAAACAAATTAAATCACAAAAAGGCGAGTTTCAAAATTATAAAAAAATACTAATGCTGATCTTTATATACCTTTAATTAATACATAATTTATACATACATTAAGTGGAGAAAATGATAGCTTTTATCAATGATTTTAGTCTTATCTAAAATTTTGACACAAATATATTTATACCATAGTGTATACATGTTTTTATTTATTAAAAGAATATTTTTGAAACGAAAGAACTCTTGGAAATATTATCTATTTTTTATGGATATTTTTATGGATATGTGATCATTTGGACTGTATACTTGTATACCTAACTTTCTTTTTTTCTATATATATTTTGATACAAATTAGGCTTTAACAATAACTAATATAATAGAAAAATAAAAAAATAAGTATAGGGTGTGTCTTAAATAAATACGAATATTTTTTGGGGGTGATATATTTCTATGCCACGAACACGTGTCTATTAATTTTTTTGGCGAATTGGTTTTAATTTTGCACTTTTCGAAAAAAAATTAGAATTTCTTTAAATGACAATTTTTCACTATATTGTATTTTCAGTAAAAAATAGTTAAATAGTTTTTTAGTAGTTTTTTATACCAAGAACTACCATTGTTTTAAATAAAATGAAATATTATAAAAACTACTAGTTTTTAAGTATACCGGGTGCGTCTCAAAAGTGGCTCACTCCCATAACTTTTTTATTTTTTTTCAATAAAAATACGAGATTTTGTTGTTAGTATATGACATAAATTGGGATTAAATGACATATTTAATAGTTTTTCGTCATTTCCTCTTTGACCGGAAATTACTACAAATTTTGATTTTTAAATGACATCCTCGTATTTTTTTACTTTATTTGATAGAAAATGATACTCTGAATAGAATGACGTATCATATGTCAACTTTTGACATTTTCGCATATGATTTATTTGAAATTGTAACATGTGGTTCGAAACGACAATTTGACTCGAAATACCAAGTGTGCGGTACCAAATTATTCGTAAAAAAATGTTTTTTTCTAAATATGCTAATGAGCCACCCTTGTTGCATTCGAAAAAAATCGAGATATGATTAAAATTACGATTTGGGAATATTTTTACCCGCCAGGACAAGACACGAAAAACATTAGACGATCAAATCTATTTTTCCAAGGCGCTTTGATTAAAAATTAGTGTTTTTAACACACTCTGATAGAACATACCAAATTTCCCAAACCAAAAAAGTTATAGGGGTGAACCACTTTTGAGACGCACCCGGTATATAAAAAAGTTATAGAATTTTACGCAAAATCTAAAAATATAAAATATACTCGTGACATTTCTTTGAAGCACCCTGTATACTCAAATATAATTTTTAATTGTGTACCATTTTCTAACGTATAACATTCCCTAAAACTTTTCCGTTAAACGAGCTAATGAAATTTACTCTACTTTTGACTCACCCTGTACAAAAAGCAAACTAATCGAAAAAACTGAAAGTTACTAACCAGCCAGAGAAGGAAACCAGGAAAAACAAAGCGAAGCAATGAATGATTTTCGGCGGATCTACAAGTTTCTTAAATGAATTTTTGATTCGTAAATCCATAGGCGTACTAAAATTTAAAATTCAAGTAATTATTTTATAAAAAAAACAAAAGTTTTGTTTTGTCTGGCTACGAGACGCGTGGATCCATTTATATTAGAAAGTCAAACATATTTTTTTAATTTAAAATTTAAACTGTATTAATATTTGTGATATATTGTTATATTTGTGTTAAGTATTAAAGAGATTTATTGTTATAATTTGTTATACGTTTTTGTTTCGGCGTGATAACCGGATATCTCATTGTCATAAAAATGTAATTTCCTTAATGCTAGCAATTAAAACAATAAAAATGACTGGACTTGCAAAATAAAAGATGTCCTAAAATAGTCTTATCGGCTTATGTAATTATATTCTACAGTAGCGTAACTAGAAAATACAAAATAGGTATAAAGTTATTCCCAAAAATATTTGATTACTAATGTTATGCAAAATTAATATCTAAAACAATACCCTCGACCCAACGACTCTGTAAACAGAGATCCACTTTGGGCAATTATGCAAAAGTTCCCAACAAATTTCTTGTTTACAGTAGTGATGACGCTTTGGAACAGGATCTGTTATTTTCGAAACAGGTTTGTTTTGGAACTGGCTTGGAACAGGTTTATGTGCTATCCTATAGCAGTTCCAGTTCCAACTGTTCCAGCTGTTTCAAAACACTACAACTTAAATTAAATACTTAAAGAAATAAATTCTTGGAATTGTTTAAATTATGTTATCTACTATATTTGTGATACTAGATTCTTAATAGTGTATTTTTCAAAATTAGATAATTATATATTATATTGCATTTGGCAACATCGCCAGTACGTTTTTTTGATGGTAAGAAATTCTCTTCGCCTATTCTGTTTACATTAAAAAAAACTCGGCGTAAAAAATGTATACATACCGACAAAGGAACCGCTAGTTTTTATTATCTAGGAATGTAAGTTATTTTTATTTTATATATGTATTTTACTATTTTACATATATAAAATAGTAAATATTAGATATTCTTTTCTTTTTGCATTTTTAAATATTGATTTCCTATTTAAAATTTATAATAAAAATTGTACTTGAATATTAATTAAATATATCAAATATCGGCAACGCTGCGAAAACCGTCACCCTTGTTTTTTTTACATCTATGCACTCGCACTCAATCTCGATAATATAACGCCAAGCGACCGCGTCGGTAAAGCAATATACTACCTCGTTTCTCAACTGAAACTAGTTCTTTTTACTTAACTGTTCCAAGTTCCAAGTCCCTTTTTACTTAACCGTCCCAAGTTTGAAACTTGGAACAGTTTAGGGCTTGGAACAGTTAGGGACTTGGAACTGTTTGAGACTTGGAACAGTTTGCGACCTGGAACAGTTTAAGGCTTGGAACAGTTAGGAACTTGGAACTGTTTGAAACAGTTAAGTAAAAAGAACTGGTTTGAGCTGATAATCGAGGTCGTATATCGGTTTCGCTAGTCTAGCCAAGTCTAGGGGACGCGACCGTTCAGGTGTTATCTGTTATCGGGATACAGGGGCGTAAAAAACAAGTGTGGCTGTTGCCGTTATTTAAAATATTTAATTAAAATTCAACCAAATTCTTATTATAAATTTTCAATTTATAATAATTTTTTTAATATAAACAGAAACAGAATAGGTATGGAACATTTTTTATTATAAAAAAATGCTGGCGATGTTGCCAAATGTAATATAATTATCGCATTCTAATTTTTTTTTTAATACAGTGTAAGAACAGTCGGTTATTGTTTTGTATTATAAATATAGTAGATATTAAAAAAAATTAAACTCTTCCAGGAATTTACTTTTTAAGTATATAACAAAATTATATATCTATATTTATTCATTAGTGCTTATACAGGGTGGATCTTAAATAAGTGCACATATTTTTAGGGTTGTATATTTCGATTCTCATGAGTTTTTTTCGGGAAAACATGTTTTTGAAAAGTTTATATTTTACGAAAATTTGATAGTTTTTTTTTAATTTTTAGTTAAAAAACCTTATATCTTGGTAATATAGCAACATAGTAGATTAAATTTAGAGAAAACAGAAAAATCCCCAGTAGTTTTCATTATTTAAGCAAAAAATATTCTTTAATATAAATTTAAAAAGAAAAATAGCAACCGAATCAGAATGACGCAAGTACGGTATTAATTTTCGTTTTGGAACAGTTTGGAACTGGAACAGGTTTCTTGGAACAGGTATCTTTTGCAACTGGAACAGCTTGTACCTGTTATTAAAAAATCGCTGTTCCGGCCATGACTAGTTTATAGTGTGTAAAAGCCTCCATAACAACAAATCGGGAGTGTCATATCATGGATCACTGAACGATCCCTTCCAGACAAATACAGGAGTTAGACAGGAATGTGTCCTAGCTCCTCTCCTATTCAACATATTCATGGCAGCGCTCTCTATTATAGTGGACAGCAAACTGCAGAAAAGAGGAACGGGTGTTAGATACTGGTATGACGGCGGTCTGTTCAACATAAAAATATTCAGGGCAAAAACACGTATAAAATTTATCCCAGAACTTCAATACGCTGATGACTGCGCTCTAGTTGCAAAAACGTTACAGCAATTACAGGAAACGCTGAACACATATACCTGGGCATACGAGACTTTGGGCCTTAAGCTGAACATCGATAAAACTAAAATTATGTGCAATGTGCACTCCCCCGAAAAATCATAACAGTGCTATAAAAATCGGAGAAGAACTATTGGAATACGTAGTGGAATTCAATTACCTCGGCAATTTGATTTCGGAAAAGCCCAATATCGACTCTGAAATTCAGCACAGAATTAGCAGCGCCTCAAGAGAATTCTGGAAATTAAAAGACAGGGTTTTCTACAATCATGACTTGAGCAAAAAAACAAAACTTGCAGTGTACAGAGCAATAATAATCCCCACCATGTTATATAGAAGCGAAACCTGGGTGCCGTACCGCCGACACAGGAGCGCGTTAAACAAGTTGCAACAGAGACACCTTAGAAAACTGTTAAGTATCAAATGGTACCAACGTGTCAGTCCTTGAAAAAACAATCTGCGAAAGCGCTGAAGTCATGAAGAAAAAAACGTTGAAAACCGAAACAACCTTGGGGTTGCCAAGGAAAAATAACATATTCATTTTCCTGGCTCCGAAATCTTGAATTCTGCCTATTTCGGATACCCGTACTAATAAAATACGCTTCGTCCGACCAAATGATCCTCTTGTGGCACACATGTTCTCTGACACACATGTCGATATACAAGTTGCAAAACTCGACTCTACGCGCAGGATTCCCAGGGTAAAGATAATGCACAAGTTTATATTAATAAAGATTGAATTTTACAGTTGAGGGTTGGAACCTTTGGTGTTACACAGCAAAATAAAATGACACTAAATCACCACAATACACCAAAACACTTTTACTTTTACACTGGACGCG